TTAGCAGAGACCCCGCCGGGATGGGTGGGTATTTTTTCAGTTTTGGTTTAGGCCTTTTCTCCAATGCTGGGAAGATGGCGGGCCAGTGAAAAGTCTGAAAGTTCGACATGGCAGGCTCCCGGCTTATGTTGCCCCATGTCTGAAAATACTTCGGCAGTGGCAAGTGACAGTGGAGGATATCAGGTCCCTTCCCAGGAAGCTTCTGGGGGAGAGAGATTTTTGGCTTCTGCTTTCAGTGTGTCACTGGCTTTAAAGGATTGCCCAGGATCCGTAATGAGGGAGGGATTGCGTTTAATTAACTTGCAGAGAATCCTTTTGAAGTTTAGGGATCAAGCCTGACTTGCTTTCTATGGAAGGCTCTATGTGAGAGGGAACCTAAAGCACTGCCCTGTGGATGATTGTGGATTGTCCTAGAGCAGAGTATGTTGGTAAAGTGGAGTCTATGGACCACTTTCTGCTCCAGTGTCCCTTTAACATAGAGGTGTATAAAAGGGTGGGGGAGGGTTCTGGGCATCCCCTTTCTCTATCGCATGAGTTTTACCTGCAAAAAAATGTGCATTTATTTTTTTTTTTTTAAAGGTTTAGGGACGTTAAGTTTTGCAATCCAATTCTGAGATTTAACAAGGAATGTTCCATTTCATTACTTGCATGTAATCACTCACAGTTCATTGGGTTGTATTTTTGACAAGAAATATGCATGTGCAGTGATTGGGCAAAAATAAGAATGGGGTTTCCAGTGCAAGGGTCGCATGCAGCCCAAGAAGGCTATGAATTCGGCCCAACACAAAAATCCTAAACGTACTTAAAAATGTTGATTTAACTCTTTGTTTCAAGTTTCTAACCCCAAACCCTGTTTGTTGGGTATTTTAGATGACTTTCAACTACCAACTCTTACTAGGGAGGCAGTTGCTAGAGCTCTCTTCCAGGCTTGGAGAGTTCTACTTCGCCATTGGAAGTCGCCTGAAAAGAAACCTCTCTTTCATAAAGTGGGTACAGTACATGGGTGAAACTCTTCGGCTTGAGAAATACATATATCAGTATAGAGGCTGCTTCCGTAAATTTGATGATCTATGGGGCCCTTGGCTGGGTACTAAGGGCCTGAGTCAGATGGATTTGGTCCTAGACAGGCTTCTTATCAGTTGATGGTGTATCCCAATGCGATGTCTATTTGTCATGGCTCGGCCCACCCAATCTCAGCTGCCATTGTATTATTTGCAATTCATCTAGTCTGTTGTGCTCATGTTATAGCTCGACATCTGAACACTAATACAAAGTCGTGGACGTCTACTTGGTTTGCTTCCTGTACTTGCTGATATTTGCTGTATATGTAAGAGGAATTTGTGGAATTGCTATATACTTGTTATCTCAGTTACTCAATAAACCGCCCTTTGATTAAAAAAATAAAAATAAAAATGCATTTACACATGCAGCCGAAAAATTTGACAGTTCTCTTTACTGGACTTTTATAAGTTTTTTCTTCCTAGGTATTATCTATATCAGTTAACTTATGATCTGCCCAACGTTTTCTGCTCATCAGCTATCCTTATTGTTAGTGTATGTTATTTATGGGCCAACGACAATTCCTCTTCTTTCAATGTTGCCCAGGAAAGTCAAAAGGTTGGACACCCCTGGTCTATAGGCTAAAATGGGGGGTCAACAACCAACTGATCATGATCTACCAGTAGATTTTGCCCATTTCCCCCAACAGAACCTCCAACACAGTGGAGTCCTTATGAAGCAGTGGGACTTTTTTTTACTTGGAGTGCGGCCGGCCATGGAGAGAGCAGGCAGTTGCATCAGCTGATACAGCTTCTGTAGGTCCACCTGCAGTGCCCAGTGGAGTGATATCAACTGCTCTCCAACTCTCTCCCTGCTTAGTAGGACCAGAGTACGTGACAGTGAGCTACTATTTGTGCTGATTGATGGTGGACTACTCTCTTGTATTATCCTGTTCAGGCCGGTGTGAAGCCCACAAACAATACTGAACTGGTGTCATCGATAATAAAACAAGCCACTACTGTAGGGACCTCAGGACAGTAAGAACACTTGCAGTTTGGGTGGAAGTAAAACCCCACATTTGAGCCATGTTTATTTTACCACCCCCACAACCACACCCCCTTTAGCTGCAGTGGCCATGGATGTACACATGCTGCGCTCCAGCAGGAATTGTACACCCTATGCAGGGGCGGACTGACCATTCGAGCGCTCGGGCACTGCCCGAGGGCCCGGGGTCAGCAGGGGTCCCTATGAGATGCTCCTGGTACCTTTCATTGGCTTTTTCATAGGCTTTTTTGGGTGTGGGTGAGGACACAGGGGCCCCATGATCCCCTATTGCCCGGGGGCCCCATGAGTTGTCAGTCCGCCCCTGGCCCTATGGTGTTTGGAAGGTGAATAGGGCCGCTCTGTAAATGAGCTGCAACCTTATGCAGTACAGCAACCAAGGTGTTAAAGCAGGTAGTGAAGAGGTGTTGTATCTCCTCCCCACCACCTACTTTAACTCCCTGGACCACAATCCGGCGCAATTTCCTTTGTCTCTTTTTATCAGTCAACCATGTCAACCGTGCTTATGCTTTCAGACAGCGTTTTCTCAGAAACTGTGAACACCGTCATAATCTTGCCTCACGGCAAATAAATTGTCAACTTCAGTCACAGAGACACCAACTAAGTGGCACCAACAATTTGCTCTCTTTGAAGCTCAGTAAGCTTTGACATGACTCCATATTACTAGCAGCTCATGCATTGAATTAGAAAAGTGAGGCTTCCCACCTGCTAGCTAGGTGTCTCATCACACAGCAGAAACATGTGTTACACCACTTCTGCTTTCAACATGAAACATGTCATCACTTTTACACCTCATCATGTAGTGTTTCCATTTTTTTGTCTAACTCCTGTATATATATATATATATATATATATATATATATATATATATTTGCTCAAAAAAATTAAACGAACACTTTTTAATCAGAGTATAGCATCAAGTCAATTGAACTCCTGGGATATTTATCTGGTCAGTTAAATAGCAGAGGGCGTTGTTATTCAGTTTCAGCTGCTTTGGTGTTAATGAAATTAACAGCAGGTGCACTAGATGGGCAACAATGAGATGATTCCCCAAAAACAGGAATGGTTTTACAGGTGGAGGCCACTGACATTTTTTCCCTACTCATCTTTTCTGACTGTTTTTCACTAGTTTTGTATTTGGCTAGGGTCATTGTCACTAGTGGTAGCATGAGATGATACCTGGACCCTACAGAAGTCGCACGGGAAGTCCAACTTCCAGGAGATTCCAGGAGACACACAGTTACACTAGGAGAGCTGGACAGGGCCGTAGAAGGTCCTTAACCCATTAGCAGGACCGGTATCTGCTCCTTTGTGCAAGGAGGAACAGGATGAGCACTGCCAGAACCCTAGAAAATTACCTCCAGCAGGCCACTGGTGTGAATGTCTCTGACTAAACAATCAGAAACAGACTTCATGAGGGTGGCCTGAGGGCCGACTTCCTCTAGTCAGCCCTGTGCTCACTGCCCGGCACCATAGAATTGACAGGTCCACTGCAGGCACCCTGTGCTTTTCACAGGTGAGAGCAGGTTCACCCTGAGCACAGCCAGTGGCACTGATGGGGCTACACTGATCATCAGGGCACTAATCATCAGTGCCCTGATGATCAGTGTAGATATCCACACTTGAGGAATGCCGATTACTGGCTCTCCTCTCCTTACGCGCTGTCAGCGTGAGGAGGGGACCGCCGATAACCGTCATTTCCTTGTTTACATGTGATCAGCTGTGATTGGAGACAGCTGATCCCATGTCATTGACTTTTACTCTGATCGGGGATCCTCTGTGTTGACACAGCGCACCACCGATCACCGTGCCGCACACCGTCCTCAGGCACACTTGTGCCGTTAGAGTGGAAGGACGTCATATTATATCCTCCCAGAGCAAGAGAACCGCCGCCTGCCCATCATTTCCTTATATGGTGGACGGGAGGCAGTCAAAGAGCACTGATGTCCTCTTTTTTTGTACCTCCTCAGACCCCAGATCAATATTTCCTCCTTCACTTGGCTGTCTTGAGGGTATCCCTAGGCAAGGGATTCCAAGATCTGCAATTAAGTAATCTCAGATGAGAACTAGTTGGGTATTGCACCTGACCACCCTCTCCCTTCTCTGGCCCAGGGGGCTTAGAAGTACTCTACACTATCCTGTTAGCCTGATGGATTGCAGCTGCTTTCAGGCCTTATGCTAGGCTGGTTCCTTTTCTGCTGACATGATGTCCTCACTAGGAGACAGTGGAGATCCTCCCATCCAGCACCAGCCTGTAAGTAGGCCCCCCTCCCTAGGGCCTCCTCCCAGGCTCCACACTCCAGCACCTTCTCTCAGTCCATCTTCCACCTAAACACAACAACTCCCCTGCTGCACAGGCTCTGCCATATTTAAGTGTTGCTCTCTCTTAGCCACCATGCCCGAACTCCTGCCTGGGGATTGGCCAAGTTATCCTAAATATGCAAATCAGGTCCTCCTCCCCACTTTCAATAAAATCATTGGAAGCTCCTCATTCTTTCCAAAATTGATGATTGACTTGATCACCTCCTCAAAGAAGAGCTCTTGTACTGAATGTCTTATTCAAAATCTCTACATTGCTACTTTTACATTTTTTGAAATTAACATGTTTACCATCATGGCCTACGACAGTTACCTGACCCCTCTTCTAGAAAGTTCCTCTAGTTTCTAGAAGGGTAGGAGGGCTCCAGAAGCCCAATCTTTAGAGCCGCCTGGCCTTTCCTTAGTTGGCCTCTCTACCTCACTCCCAGGCTGACTCATCCCAGGCTTCTAACAAGCCTTTCACTTACAAAAATGCTATCTAGCTATACTAGAGGGCGCTACACATATAAGTGCAACAAAACATTGATAACAAGTGTGAAACCATACATGGTTTGTAGACATGTTTGAAAAAAATGTTTTACACTTTTATTTTGTTTATCGCTTATGTCATATATGGATGATTAATGCATATGGATTTGTTTCCACTTTCCCCCCAAATTTGCTTTCCACAAATATTGGATGAGTCTTATTTTTAGGGCATGGGTCCGTACTCCATAGATCAGAGGGTTAAAGAGTGCTGGGAACACCAAAGGGGTGACAGAGAGGAGAACATGAACAGTTAGTGGAAGGGTAACATTATCCAGTCTGTATCTAAGCACAACAAAAAACACTCCAATTAGGAAGACTGAAAAGTTGAGCAGATGAGTGACAACAGTGTGGACAGCCTTCTGACGTGACTCCTTGGAGAAGTTCATGCACACAAAGAATATTCTTAAATAGGAAAAAGCAGTGACCACAATGGTGGTGACAAAGTAGATGGAAAATACGATGGCTGAAGGTAAACTGCTATTGGATGAATTTACGCAGGACAGCACAATGAGGGACATGTTATCACAAAAAATATTGTTTATTTTATCCCTGCATAGAGGAAGTGCTGCTGTCAGAAGAAGAAGCATGACGAGGATCACGAAGGTTATGCCCCAACACCAAGAGATTATCTTCACAACCTTCTCACTTGTCATTAGCATGCTGTACTGTAGAGGTTGACATATGGCCAAGTAACGGTCGTAGGCCATGATGGTAAAAGTGGTCATTTCAAAAACTGCAAAAGTAGAAATGCAGAGATTTTGAATAAGGCATTCAGTACGAGAGATGTTCTTTGAGGAGGTGATCAAGTCAATCATCAATTTTGGAAAGAATGAGGAGCTTCCAATGATTTCATTGAAGAGCAAACTGGCTATGAGAATGTACATGGGTTCATGGAGGCTTCTCTCCTTCAAAATGGCATATATGATTACACTACTTATTATCAATGTAAAAGAGTAGACTATTGTAGAAAGGCAGAAGTAGAGGTATTTTTGCTTTTCCAGCTCCACCATCCCCAGGAGTACGAAACTGGTGCTGATGTTGGATGCACTGGCCATCTTTCTTCTTTCAATTCAAGCTCAACATTCAATGAGGGCCAGCTGCATGATCCTTAAAAAATAAAGAACAAAGAGAACAAAGTTTAGATCGTTACTCCTAAAATGTGCAAATATGCTGCTAAAATACAGACTGCTCGTAGGCAGGTGCAGTCTATTTTTTGCACTGTAGGTGACGCTCATCCAGAGTGGTACTGCAGCTGAAGGGGAAGTCAAGTGAATCTTGGTTTCTCTATGGATCCCGCAGATCCCTGGAGCAGCATTCCGGTTGGCTATGCTGCATCCAGTTGATGCTGGTGGCCATCTTGGGTCACATAGAGTGTTTTTTAGTCTCTGCTCCCAGGTTTTGGCATGCATTTGCGAAAGTGGTTAGTGTAGGGGGAGTATGTTCACCTGTCAGCACTAGTTGTAGGAATTGGTTATGGGGGAGTAGGGAAAGAGCAGGTCCTGCGTCACTTCCGCAAGCTCCCCCTTGGATTGGACTGGCCAGACTGCATTCAACGTCCCCTGGTAAGCGCTGACTTCAGTTCGGGACTACCACTGCTGACTCTCCGCTGCATTGACTGAGAGTACCCAGTGAACTTCCTGCTGGGCTGTTTTACTGGTTTCAAGTTCTTCGATACACTGTTTGCTGCACTTCAGGCCACTGTGTGATTACTGCCCCCCACACCACTCTGCACCTATCCAACAAGCTGCTCTTATTTATTAGGATTTTTCAAAAGTAAATTAAAATGTGTTAGTTGATTCACTGCCTAGTAAATTGGTGGTCGTGGGATATTGGAAAAATATGAAGGATTTCTTTTAATCTGCCTCTTCCTTTTAAAGAACCACCAATGTTTAAGATGGCATCCTATAATGATCATCAGATGGGATTCCAAGTATGGTATATTTTTACAGTTGCATGCAACTATGATGCAGAGGAGTGTGCGGATGACGTCACAACGTTACCATTCATCGGAACAGCGGTTATAGTACTCTGGAAACGGCTCCAGGAACGGCATTATAGCTGGATGTTCATCATACCTGGTGCATTATACACCTACTGAACATGAGCGCATTTCTTATGTTTAATTGATGAATAAAAGTTTTAAAAGGATAAAGCACTACGTTGAGTTCTTTTTAATGAGGAATACGGCTGCCACCAAGACATTTATCGGGAGGGAGCATACTTTGGTGTCCTCATTCAGCAAGCTGATCTTCTGAGTCCAAATGGGACCAAAAGTGCAGTTAGACCGTAACATTGTTTAATATGAGGTCACACTGCATGAGGTGAGCAGATACAGTATATGGTGGACGATGTTTTTGCACGGGAATTTGTGACAGCTGCACATATTTTTCGTTTTCCAAAGGAGGGTTCACAGAAGAACACTTTATTGATTGAACTTGAGTTTTGAATGACTTTTGGTTGATTCGTACTTATATATATATTTTTTTTATTTAAACATTTTTTCATTTAATTTTTAACTTTGCTTTTGATATATAGGAATTGTGCAATTTTTTTCATTTTATAATATGATATATATACAGTATATACTGTACCTGGCCGCCATACCTTAACACCAACCACCGATTTTTTTAGAGGAGAATTCACCACTGACCACCAACATTTTAGAGGACAGTTACCACTGACCACCAACCACCAATGTTTTAGAGAACTCATCACTGACCACCAACACTTTAGAGGGCATGTATCACCACCACCAATGTTTTAGAGAACTCATCACTGACCACCAACACTTTAGAGGGCATGTACCACTGACCACCAATGTTTTAGAGAACTTATCACTGACCACCAGCACTTTAGAGGGCATGTACCACTGACCAACAACGACTAATGTTTTAGAGGAGAACTCATCACTGAAGGCCAACATTTTAGAGTGCATGTACCACTGACCACCAATGTTTTAGAGAACATTTTATAATATGATATATATACAGTATATACTGTACCTGGCCGCCATACCTTAACACCAACCACCGATTTTTTAGAGGAGAATTCACCACTGACCACCAACATTTTAGAGGACAGTTACCACTGACCACCAACCACCAATGTTTTAGAGAACTCATCACTGACCACCAACACTTTAGAGGGCATGTACCACCAACCACCAATGTTTTAGAGAACTCATCACTGACCACCAACACTTTAGAGGGCATGTACCACTGACCACCAATGTTTTAGAGAACTTATCACTGACCACCAGCACTTTAGAGGGCATGTACCACTGACCAACAACGACTAATGTTTTAGAGGAGAACTCATCACTGAAGGCCAACATTTTAGAGTGCATGTACCACTGACCACCAATGTTTTAGAGAACTCATCACTGACCACCAACACTTTAGAGGGCATGTACCACTGACCACCAATGTTTTAGAGAACTCATCACTGACCACCAACACTTTAGAGTGCATGTACCACTGACCACCAATGTTTTAGAGAACTCATCACTGGCCACCAACACTTTAGAGGGCATTTACCACTGACAACCAATGTTTTAGAGAACTCATCACTGACCACCAACACATTAGAGGGCATGTACCACTGACCAACAACCACTAATGTTTTAGAGGAGAACTCATCACTGAAGGCCAACATTTTAGAGTGCCGTTATCATTGACCACCAACATAAGGAGGCCCTACACTAACTACTCTACACAGTGATTTACCCCAAACTATTACAGTCCTAAAGCTATGTTGTACATTGCATAATCCAGATCACTGCACTTGGTAAGCTTTGCTGTACAAACATACCCCTGACTGCCGCGCTCCTTTAACTGTGCTGTTCATTACATAACCCTGGCCACCACAATGTGTTGTGCTATACATTACTTACCTGTAAGGACTTTACTCTCTAAGCTGTTCATTATATACACTGTATCTGTTCACAGCACAAGCTGGTCTGTGCAATACATACCCCTGACTGTTGTAAGTTGTGCAGCTGTACATACTACTCACCAGGGGAGGATTCACAACTCATGGGGCCCCCGGGCAATAGGGGATCATGGGGCCCCTGTGTCCTTGCCCAAACTCAAAAAGGCCTATGAAAAGGTACCAGGGGCATCTCATGGGGCCCCCTACTGACCCCGGGCCCTCGGGCAGTGCCCGAGTTTCCAAATGGTCAGTCCGCCCCTGCTACTCACTAAAGTGTCCATTGATTCGACAGCTGCTGGTTACTAAGCAGTTTCCAGATTGTTTGATGAACTTCATTAAGGTAGGCTCATACAAATGCTGTGTGCAGGAAAGTATATGTAACAGAAGAGTTTGATCCTTTGTGCTGAGGTTTCTGTGTAATTCTCACTTGCAGCACTTTATTTAAAGTATATTTTTAAGTACAAGGGCCACAGCCTATGTGTGTAGTATATATGGGGTATAGTCAGGTTTTATACATCCATGCCCCTTTATATCACTCGGGCATAATCTGGCCAAACCCTCTGTTGGCTATGGCACACTATGCAACCCCCAGAATTTTTAAACAATCCTAGCTACTGCTCTGGACCTTTTGAAAATAATTTTGTAGACAGGGAATGATTGCCAAGGTAAAATTAGAAGGTTGCATATGGTTCCAGGAGCAAGAAGTCCTTCCGTTACACATCAACATTTTACTAGAATTAGTAATTTGGTTTTTATTTCCATTAAGTCTTTACTGAAATCTATGAAGAACAAAAGTGTACGGAAGGCAACTTAAGCACCATCAATCAAGGAGAAATACATATGGTGTACAGTTGCAAGAAAAAAGTATGTGAACCCCTTGGGATTACGTGGAGTTTTGCATGAATTGGGCATAAAATGTGCTCTGAACGTCATCTAAGTCACAACAATAGAAGAACACAGTCTGCTGAACATAATACTACACAAACATTAGATGTTGCCATGGTTTAATTGCACATAACATGTAAACATTCACAGTGCAGGGAGGAAAAAGTATGTGAGGCCCTAGCTTAATGACTTCTCCCAGAGCTAATTGGAGCCAGGAGTGAGCCAACCTTGACTCCAATCAGTGTGATGATATTGGATGTGTTGCTGACAGCTGTCCTGCCCTTAAAAAACACACACCTGTTTTGGGTTTACTGGTTTCAAGAAGCACTGTCTGATGTGAACCATGCCTCGCAGAAAAGAGCTCTCAGAAGACCTACGATCAAGAATTGTTGACTTGCATGAAGCTGGAAAGGGTTACAAAAGTATCTCCAAAAGCCTTGATGTTCATGTGTCCACAGTAAGACAGACTGTCTACAAATGGAGAAAGTTTAGCACTGTTGCTACTCTCCCTAGGCGTGGTCGTCCTGTAAAAATGACTGCAAGAGCACAGCGCAGAATGCTGCATGAGGTAAAGAAGAATCCCAGAGTGTCAGCTAAAGACCTACAGAAATCTCTGGCACATGCTAACATTTTTGTTGACACATCTACAATAAGGAAAACATTAAACAAGAATGGAGTACATGGGAGGACACCACGGAGGAAGCCATTGCTGTCCAAAAAGAATATTTCAGCACGTTTGAAGTTTGCAAAAGAACACCTGGATGTTCCACAGCACTACTGGCAAATTATACTGTGGACAGATGAAACCAAGATTGAGTTGTTTGGGAAGAACACACAACACTATGTGTGGAGAAAAAAAAAGGCACAGCACACCAACATCAAAACCTCATCCCCACTGTAAAACATGGCGGAGGGAGCATCATGGTTTAAGGCTGCTTTGCTGCCTCAGGGCCTGGACGGATTGTTGTCATTGATGGGAAAATGAATTCCAGAGTTTATCAAGAAATTTTGCAGGAAAACGTACGACCATCTGTCCGCCAACTGAAGCTCCGCAGAGGATGGGTGATGTAACAGGACAATGACCCAAAGCATACAAGTCATTCAACAAAACAATGGCTGCAACAGCACAGAATACGCCTTCTGGAGTGGCCCAGTCAGAGTCCTGACCTCAACCCGATTGAAATGCTGTGGCATG